AAATTAGTTGTTACTAGTGCCACCTAGTGGTTACATTTTTCTAGCCCTTCATGTTTATGAAGAATTTTAAATACATTATCTCATTTCAGTCCTCCTACAACACTATAGATGGCTGTAACCCTTGCTTTCTCCACCCTTGTGACAGGGTGGAAGGAAAATAGCTTTGGAGTCAAAAGACTTGAATTAAAAATTACACTTCTAAAATTTCTTCCGTGTATGACAAATCACTTAGCTTCCCTAAGTCTCAGCTTCCTCTTCCGTAAAGTGAAAAGATTGGTCTAGATCAGCTGTTTTTTTTTTCAGGCACGGGGTTAAGTAACTTGCCCAAGGTCACACAACTAGTGTCAAGTGTTTGGTCCTGACTTCAGGGCTGGTGCTCTATCCACTGCACCACCTAGCTGCCCCCTTAGATCAGAAATTCTTAACAGTTTTTTGTGTCATTGTGATGGGAGCCTTTAGAACTTCTTCTTAGAACAATGTTTTTAAATATATAAAGTAAAATATATAGGATTGCAAAGGAAACTATATTGAAATACTGTTTTTAAAAATACTTTGTTTTAAAAATAGAGAAGTTCATCATTCTCAAGTTAAGAATGTCTGATCTAACTGTACTCTAAGGTCCATTCCCAGTTCTAGATCTCTGAGCCCTAAGTGAGGTGGGAAAAGTAAATGAAAATAACGCAGGTAGGATAAGCTCTAAAAATAAGTGTTTGGTAGCTTCCAGCCATAGACACATAAAGATTTTGTCCAAGCAGATAAAAATTTAAGTAGATATTATTGTTAGTCATTTTCCAGTCATGTCTGACTCTTCATGACCCCATTTGGGATTTTCTTGGCAGAGATACTGGAAGGGTTTGCCATTTCCTTCTCCAGATCATTTTTCAGATGAGGAAACTGAGGCAAACAAGAAAATTAAGCTTGGGATCACATAGCTAGCAAGTGTCAGAAGCCATATTTGAACTCAGAAAGAGGAGTCTTTCTGACTTCAAGCCCAGCATTCTATCCACTGTGCCACTTATTTATGTAATAAATAAAAAATAGACATAATATTTAAAGGGCTATTGTCTGACTTATCTGAAAGAAAAAGGAATAGCCCGTAGACCTCTCCTTTGTCCACAGAAGTCAATTTAATCTGGGTTCCCTACAGCTAGAATATTCTGCTCCTCTGTCTTCACCTATTAATATCCTTTACATCTAAGTTAAATGTCACCTCCTCCCTAAAGCCTTCCTGAATTCCCCCCCCCCCAGTCCAGAGCTGTGCAATCTTTTTTTGTGCGTGTCATAGAACCGTTTGGCATTCTGATGAAGACTTGTTCTCAGAATAATGTTTTTAAATGCACAAAAATAAAAATACAAAGGATTACAAAGGAAACCAATTATATTGAAAAAGTTATCAAAAAATGTTTAAAACCAGTTCATGGCCCCCAGGTTAAGAACCCCCTCCTCCAATAATTATACTCTTACTAATTATATGAATTGAACATTATATGCACATAATCATAATAACATATTTCATTTGCATGTCTTTTGTAGAAGACTCAAAACATACCATAATTTCAGAATGTCCCTGGTTTTATGTGTTTTGCTTATCCTAATATCAGCCACAGCCAAGGTGTACCTTTGCCAGGCGTGCTCCTGGCATGTAGTAGAATAAGCTCTTTACGTGGAATTAAAAGACGTAAGCCAGATTCAAGCCCAAGATCCTCACTCACTATGTTGTTTTGTACAAGTAACTTAACCACTCTGAGCTTCAGTTATCCCATCTGAAAAATGGGGAAAATGACACCAAAATGATTCAAGGTTTTGTAAATATCACATGAGATCATATATGGAAGGTATGTTGTAGGCATAAGTTGCTATATACATTTGTCATTATTATGCCATATGAGTACTATGTAGAATGATAAAGCAATGGAGTTGGGGGTTAAAGCACATAACCCAGCATAACCTGTGTCCGTGCCATGCTTTCTTATCTATATCAAATTATGTGCTTGCAGGTTCAGGGTGGTGATTTAACGGAGAAAGAAAGCTTGGAGATGGCACCATATGCCCTCGCTGGGAAACCAGGGGAATGCACACTCGAAAAGAGCAAAAGGCCACGGGAAAAGGAAGAGGTGTGGACACTGGGTTCCGAATTTGACTGCCTCCATTTCCTTGTGTTGTCCTTAAAATTTCACTTTCCTGTTTGCTAATAGGGCATGGGGAACAAGCAGCTGGTGTGGTCAGACTGCCTGGAGGATTGAGACTGTCACACCATGGTGGCTACAAGACGCCAGGGCCCAAGAGCCTATGTCCGGTGATTCAGATCAGAGGATGAAAGAAGCAAGACTGTGACCCTAAAGTAGGGTGGAGATCAGCTCCACTGAGGCAAGTCTGATCCCGGAGTAGAGACTGGCAAATACTGAAAAAAATCCCATTAGCCAGTGAGCTAGAGAAGAAGAAAAATCTCTCTGACCATTCTTCCCTTTCTTTCTCTTGGTATAGTCTCTAATCCAGAGTACAAAAAATGAAACAATCCCAACCCTCAATGAGCCTACATTCCACACAAGTTACTTAACCCCTGAACCTCAGTTTCCTCATTTGTAAAATGTTTGCACAAGATGTACACTCTGGTCCCTTCTGGCCCTAAATCTATGATCCAATGATTTTTGTTATATTTAATGAACCTTGTGGCCATAGTATGATGCATATTTATGTCCTATGGATATAGGGGATAATTAACTAAGAGAGATTACAGATGCAAGTGGTGACTTGAGTTGTAAATTTCATATTTTTTATATTTTGAGCAATATTCCAAATCATCCAAGATTGCAAACCTGGCCCAAAAGGATTTAAATGCTCAGCGCTGCCACTGGAAGCCTAATGCAGCAGGAAGTAAACAGTCTGGACCTTTCTGGCTGACCACCCATTCATTTCCGGAGGAGATATTTCAGCCTTTGGGGAGGCTGTACCACATATACATCAGAGCAGAACTGCGGGGCCTAGAGCATAGGGGCTCAAAGAGAGGGCCATCTTGTGAACATCCCAGATATTATCTTCTTTCACTGGATGCTTAAGAAAGGCATCTTATGAGGCATTGTGACATTCTGTGTCTACTATGTAGGACTCCAAGAGTCATAAGGTGTATGTAGATAGATAGATAGATAGGTATAGATATAGATATACAACGTGTAATATCAATTTGGCTACTTCCCTGTTATACAACTCTTCCTCCGTGCCTGGAATGCATTCCATCCTTACTTCTACATCATAAAGCTCCTCTTTTCTATGATGATGTCATTCCTGATTCCTCCACCTGCTAGTGCCTTCCTTTCCCAACTACCTTGTCTTTAACTACTTTGTATTGATTCACTTTAAGTTTATATGCTATATATTACATTAAAATATAATATGTTGTATAAAACATATTGTAAATATAAAATATAAGCATTTTATATAAATATAAAATATATTAATCATTGCCATAATATATGTGTAAAGTGAATTAATACAAAGTAGTTAAATGTATGTATTATATATATGTACATATATACGTATACAAACACACACATGTTTCTGTCACTGGAATGTAAACTCCTTGCTAGCAGAGATTGTTTCACTCTTTGTCCTTGTATCTCCAGGGCCTAGCACACTACTGGGAACATAGTAGGCATTTAATAAGTATTTGATTGATTAATAACTTTAGACAAGTCATTTTACTTTAAAGTCCCAAGTTTCCTCTTATAAAATGATGCAGTTGCATTAGATCAGTGGTTCTCAAAGCATTGTCTTTGAACCCAAGAACCTTTCAGGGTTTCTATAAGGCAAAAAATTTTTTGTACTAATACATTATTTGTATTTGCATTATTTGTCTATTCAAATACTCCTTCACTTTTCAATTACATATTTGTGTGAGGCTCAATTTTTTAATATACTTCAACCAAAACAATATATCACAACAGATTGAGAGAATCTGGCTGTCTAATATTAAGCCAGAAATTTGAGATTTGAAAAATATATATGTAAAACAATGCCACTCTTCTCACTATTTTATTTGTTTAGGAAAATATCATAGTTTTTCATAAAAATATGTTAATATATATTTTTATTTTTATTTTGCTTTATATTGTTATATTGGTTATTTTTATATTGGTTTTATATGATTATTTCTTAATGAATGAATACATATTTTAACATTTGGTTAGTTTCCATTTCTAATGTGAGAACTGTCAATAGCTATAAACCACATAAACAAACTGTCTTTGGAGTCTTCAATATTTTTTAAGAGAACAAAGGGGTGCTCAGACCAAAAAGTTTGAGACAGACCCACTGTATTGGATGTTCGGTAAAGTCTCATTCAGCTCTAAATCCTATGATCTCAAATATATGTATCATGTCTTGCATGATACCACAGTTATTTGTGTATTTGTCTTGTCTTTGCTACTAGATTATAAACCCCACGAGGGCAAGAATATAGCCTATTTATCTTCTTACATCTTTATTGACCACTGTATATATTGCCTTGCAACAACAACATCAATAATAATAATAGCACCCATGTATATCTTGCTTTACTGGCCTCATGACAACCCTGTGAGGCAGATAGTGTAGGTATCATCAGCCCCAATTTGCAGATGAGGAAACTGATGGTCAGAGAGGTTAAATGACTACCTCACTAGTTAGTGCCAAAGCCAGAATTGTTTTTCCTCCAAGGCTGGTGCTCTTTCCAGTACATATTACTCGGTTTGCTCAGTATCATCAATCCCCAAACTGATTAATGTTGCAGTTTTACACTCAGAAGATTCACCCACTGACAAATCCAGGTGTCATAAAGCACTGTTTATACACTTCAATTAAATGTCTTGGAGAAAGGAAGGTCATTTCTTCCTGTTATTAGTTGTCCCAAGAGATCGGACAGCAGTGACATTTAGAGAAAGAGAGAAAGGTCTTGTCAGGGATAAAAGAGATGACATTTGATACAGTCTCATTGTCAGCAAAATTCTTGTACCCAATCACTTGATTTTCCTCCTCAGCTTCTTTTCACACCTCTTTGACACTTCCTTACAATCTCATCTTGGTTTTGCTCTTTCAAGTACTTATGATAAGCACCCCAGTGTCATTTGAATATTTAAAACAGGAGACAATTAAACCATCAGCTGAAACACTAGTCGGAGGCTGATATAGGGTTACTTCCTTCAGGGAACAAACACCATCCTCTGCGCACACTTGAGTCTAATGAAGGCTGTCGGTGCAACCATTTCAGGATGTTGTCATAATAAACATGTGCTTGGGCAGCAAAGGAAAAGGAGAGGGGGAAATGCACTTTAAAATGTCCTGTACTGAAAAGCTGACATTGGCTGCGAGGATGCCGCTGTCCCTTGCCGCTGCCGCGTGGCCTCGGGGATGATCTCTTCAACCCACTAGGATGCCTGGATGTTTTAAGAAGACGTGGTTCGGCTTGGCCTCACTGCTGAGCTTCTCATCCTTCTTGTTGATCATCATTGCTATGGCAGTCCCCAAGTGGATGAGCGGGAAGATCCTCTGTCAGACCGGAGTGGATCTGGTCAATGCCACAGATCCAGAGCTAGTTAAATTCATTGGAGACATTTACTACGGACTCTTCCGGGGCTGCAAAGTGCGGCAATGTGGGCTGGGTGGCCGGCACTCCCGATTCACCAGTGAGTATCGCACGCTTCTCTGCATGCCCTGGAAACTGGTTTAAAATCTTTTAAACTAATAAGTTTCATTAAATGTAGCATTTGTTTGTCTCCTGAGGGAAGAAATGTTTGCTGAGACGGCACCCAGTGGACCAAACTATGTGCTAAACTGTCAGTAAGTCATCTGGTCCTCAAATAAGTATTAAGTGCTGACTATGCCTGGCACTAAGAAAGCAATAAGAATACAAAGAAAGGCAAAAAATACTCCCTGTTCTTCAAGGAGCTCCCAGTCTAATGGAGGAGACAACATGTAAACAACCACGTAGAGACAAGGTAAACATACAGGATAAATTGGAAACAATCGAGAGAGGAAGGGCACTAGCATTAAGGAGGATCAGGAAAGACTTCTCCTAGAAGATGGGATTTTAGCTGAGACTTGAAGGAAGCCATGATAGGCCGGAAGAAGAGATGAGCAGTCTATTCCAGGCAGGGAAATAGCCAATGAAAATTCCCATTGCTCTCCATGAGAACAAAGATAGTATACTGTTATAAACCTCAAAGAAATGTGAATTATTATTATTATTATTATTATTATTATTATTGGTGGGAAGAACACTGGACTGTGAGTCAGAAGTCCTCTGGCACTGAACAGTTGTGTGGTTTTCAACAAGTCATTTCATCTGGTTGAGTCTCAGTTTCCTCATGTATAAAATGGGGATAATAATGCTTGCTCTACCTACCTCATAAGGACTATTGTGAAGAAAGTGCTTTACAAATTATGGTGATACATAAACATGTGCTGTTGTTATTTAAGAATTTACTGTTAGTTAATGTTGTTATTTAAGAATTTGAAGTGGTAGAGAATTTTTTAAATTGAGATGTAAGTTTCTGTGACCACATTTAATGACAGTGACCTTCCAGGGATATATAGGTATGAGAAGAGGTATATCACACACACACATACACACACACACACACACACACACACACAGAGAAAGAGAGAGAGAGAGAGAGAGAGAGAGAGAGAGAGAGAGAGAGAGAGAGAGAGAGAAAGACAAGTTGGTTTAACAAAAAGAGGGCAAAGGACCTGAGTTTGAACCCTGCCTTTGGTTACTACCTATCCAAGTGACCTCATCCTTATTCCTTGTGTAAATATGAACAAGTCTCTTCTCTGGGTCTCATTTTCCTCATCTGTGAAATAAAAAGAGGCATCATGGCTTTAGCGGATACCAGAGTGCTGGGCCTAGAGGCAGGAATACCTACATTCATATCTCACCTTTAACACTTGCTAACAGCATCATCTCCAACAAGTCCCTGAACATCTATATGCCTTATATAATCAATCAATCCACAAGCATTTATTACACACCCAGCACATTCCAGTTACTTGCTGTACTAGGCACTGAGGTTGTAAGTTTAAAAAAAAATGGAAGTGTTTATTCTCAAGAAGCTTATTTCTAGGGACGGCTAGGTGGCGCAGTAGATAGAGCACCGAACCTAAGTTAAAATCCAGCCTCGGACCAAACACTTGTCACTTACTAGCTGTGTGATCCTGGGCAAGTCACTTAACCTCAAATGCCTAAAAAAAAAATCTTAATTCTACTGGGGGATGAGGGTTCAGGGAAATAATCTATTCGAATATAAGTTGATATTACATATCTACAAAGTAAATACAAGGGGATTTCATTGGCTAGACACTAGGAACTAGAAAGATCAGGAAGAGCTTCATGTAGGAAGTGACCTTTAAGCTAGGCTTTGAAAGAAGCTACGCAGTCTTAGAGGCAGAGGTGTGTAGGGAGTGCCTTCCAAGCACAGGTGACACAACCTGACCAAAACCCAGATAAGGGGAACATTTGAGAAACAGTAAGATAAAAACATAGATAAGTACATAATAGTAAGATAAATACACAGAGATAAGATACAGAATAGCTCAGTGGAAAGAATACTCTCTGGGAAGTCAGAAGACCTAGGTTCAAATCTCATCTCTGAAACTACTTACATGACTTTGGGGAAGTCATTTTGATTCTCGGGGCCTCAGTTTCCTTTAGTAGAAAATTATGATGTTGGATTAGCTAGCTTCAGACGTCCCTTTAAGCTGTAGATTTGTGACTATTTTTTAAAAATAAGTGAGGAGGAAGATTATTCCAGACATGGGGGAACATCTTCTGCATAGGCAGTAGTAGTTGGAACACTATGTACAGGGACCAGTAAGAAGGTCCGTGTGGCTGGAAGATAGAATACATGATGGGTAGAAATGTGAACTCAATCTGGAAAGAGATTAGAGTCAAGTTATGAAACCCCATAATCCTGTAAGAGACATAGGAGGAAGATACTGGTAAATATGATGCCCTATTCTTGGGGATAACTGGAGCATCAGTAAGTAATGATGAATATTAACAATTCAGAGAAGCCTGGGAAGAACTTCTATGAACTGATGCAAGTGATTAGAATAAAAAGAATGATTTTCAAAACGACAATAATGTAAAGGAAAACAACTTTTAAAAAAACTTCAGAACTCTGATTAATAGACCAACCAATCATGACTTCAGAAAACTGCTAAACATGTTAAACATGAGGTACAGAGTGTGACATACATTTTCAGGCACGAGCAATGTGTGGATATGTTTTGCTTGACTTTGTTTACTCATTACAAGTCAAGGCTTCTGTTAAGTAGAGACAGATATGGAGGGAGTTGGTGGGTAGTGATAAAGATGAAAAAGTATTTTTTAAAATGTTCAGAAGAGCAAAGAAGGAAGCTCAGAAGGGGACATAGACAAGCAGGACAGTTTTGTTACCCTCAATCAATAAACATTTAAGTGCCTACTATGTGCCATGCACTGTGCTAACACTGGGGATATAAAACGAGACCCCCCCAAAAAAACCAGTGTCTGCCATCAAGGAGCTTACAATCTAACAGATAAGACAGCATGTAAAAAAAATCTATACAAAGCAGGCTATCTACAGGATAAATATGACATAATTAACAGAGGGAAGGCACTAACACTATCATGTTAAACATTTAATATGCACTTTAAAAACTAACAGAAATTCACAGTTTCATACGCAGTCCTCTTTTTTGTACATTAAAATGTTTGTTTTTTATGTTTGTTAAGTTCATAATAAAAATAAAAAACTATAAGGACACAGGCCTTCTAAAATAGATTGTTAAATTTCCATTGTGAGCATTTACACTGAAGAAATCCTCAATTGCTACAAATCAGGGTTCAATTTCCCATTTTGTTGATTATCTAGTTTTAAGAAAGTGTCAATAATGTAAATCAAATTTAAAATTGTGTTTGCATACATTTTTCTGGTGATTTAAGCAATTACCAATATATCCTTGTATCACTCTAAACATTGCTTGGGCAAAGCAATAGTAGAAGGCTCAGAGAATGAAGCCATCACCAGACTAATAATAATAATAACAATAACAATAACAATAAAACTGACATTTATATAGCGCTTTAAGGTTTGCAAAGTGCTCTACGCCCATTATTTCATTTGCGCCTCACAACACAGGGGATACAGGTGAACATGAGGTAAGGAAGGAAATAGATTGTGAAAAGAATTAGATTTGGCATTTAAAGAGCTGGGCTCGATTCTGACTCTACCACTTACTGAACCCATGTGACCCTGGGCAATTTGTTTAACCTCTCTGAGCCTCAATTTCCTCATCTGTAAAAATGAGGAGTTGGACTAAATGAACTCTATGATCCCTTCAAACTTGAAATCCTATGATCCTAAGGATTCAGATAAAACAGTGCACCCAGGTATCAAATTATTCCTTCCATCTAAGCCTTTCTGTCCTTTCACTTTTGTGTAATAAAGGTATCATGCACACACACACATACACACACATACCCCTCCCATTATATATAGACATCAATGATCCCTTCTGATTTCTTCTTCTTTTTTGTGTATTTTTTCTGATTTTGTCACCATGATTTTTTTTTTTTAACAAAGGATCATCACAGATTTAGAATTGGAAAGCTCCTTAGAGGTCATTTAGTCCAAACCGCTCATTTTTTCAATTCACCAATTGATAAGTATTTATCAAGTTCATACTATATTCCAGGCACAAAAAAAAGAAACAAGAAAAAAACAGTCTCTATTTTCTTAAGGAATTTATTTTACGAGAAAAGTTTGGCCCTGGAACAGTTTAAGTAACTTGCAGCGCAGAGGTCAACCAGGACCTCTGAACATCTACTGTCCTCCAATACAGTCAGTGTATTTAAGGGAGATCTCTGATACAGTAGAAAGAGAATTGGCTCTAGAGTCTAAGGGTCTAGGTTCAACCCCCACCTTTGGTTTGGGGGGGGGTTTATTCTTTTTTGTTCTTTTTTTTTTTTTAGTGAGGCAGTTGGGGTTAAGTGACTTGCCCAGAGTCACACAGCTAGGAAATATTATGTGTCTGAGGCCGGATTTGAACTCAGGTCCTCCTGACTCCAGGGCCAGTGCTCTATCCACTGAACCACCTAGCTGCCCCCAACCCCCACCTTTGACACTTAGCATAAGGTAATATTCAGATACTCAAATGGATCCATGGTCTCATTGATGAGACTATTCCTTCCAACACCCCAGATCTCGAGCCATCCCTGCTCTTCTTGGGTATCTCTTGTCCTTGTTTTCCCACAGCGCATCCGCCAATATGTTGAGGGTATTCCTCACTTTCTATTGAACATAACATGAAGCCTTAGGCAATAGCAGTTGCAATTTGGGACCAACAGAGTGTGGAGTGGGGGTAGGAAGTGGTTGCTCCACGAAATACATGGACTTTATTCCTTCATTTTTCTACCACAGGACTAATATGGCTGTTCTGTGAGTCTCTCCTGTAACAGAAAAAGCAGCCTACTGTCTCTGAGTCTCTGAGTCTGGAACACTCACTTACAAGCAATCATACACTATGTATTTGTCCCAGAGGAAGACCAGTGAGAAAGAGAACAATCATCCCCCTCAAACCAGCAGTGCCTCTGAGTGAATAATAATAATAATAGTTGAGTGGGATGTTAGAAAAAATTATT